ACCGCCCCTGGCCACAGCAGCCCCAGGAGGAGAGCTGGCAGCAGCGCCGCGGGGAGAGGCATCCCGGCTAAGGGCGCGTAGCCACGGGCCAGCGGCCGGTCGCTCGGAAAATACGCTCGCCCCCCAGCTCCCACTTTATACTGAGGTCAAAGGGGGGAAGAAAAAAAGAAAACCAACAAAAACCCAAAACAAAACAAAACAAAACAAAAAAGCGAGGCGGGGGTGGGGGGAGGGAGGGAGCCCCGCGCTCAGTCCCCCGAGGATCTGCGGTTTCCCTGAGCTGGCTGCATGGAGAGGAAATCCCGGGAGCAAGAGCTTCTGAACTTGATCTCAACTCCAGGAGTCTTGTCTGAAGTGCTGATCTTCTTCTATAGCTGCTCAGCCATAGCGCTTTAGCCCTGGCCACGATATTTATATATCCATGTGCGTTGGTACCTATTACATCACCACCTACTGCTGTCTGCTGCAGCCCTCCGGTTTAGCTGAAAGTCAAATTATCACCCCTAGATGCTTAACAGCTCCGAAGCGTCTTGAAGGGAAAGGGTGAGCAGCACTGGTGCTAAACAAGAGGGACAGCACAAACTTTTAAAAAGAAAAGGTCATATTTTGTGTTCATCACAGCAGCTTCCTTCTCTCTCTCTTCTCTCTTTCTTTCCCTTTCTTTCTCTCTCTCTCCTCTCCCCCCTCCTTCCTTCCTTCTTTTCTTTCTTTCTTTCTTTCTTTCTTTCTTTCTTTCTTTCTTTCTTTCTTTCTTTCTTTCTTTCTCTTTCTTTCTTTCTTTCTTTCTTTCTTTCTTTCTTTCTTTCTTTCTTTCTTTCTTTCTTTCTTTCTTTCTTTATGTCTTTCTTTCTTTCTCTCTTTCTTCCCTTCTTTCTTCCCTTCTTTCTTTCTTTCCTTCCTTCTTTCCTTCTTTCCTTTTCTCTCTCTCTCCCCCCCTTCTTTTTTCTTTTCTCCTTTCTCTTTCTTTCTTTTTTTTTTTCCTTTTATAAGTGCTTACAAATGCTAATGCAGGACACAAAAATCAAAGAATGCTCAGCACACTTTCCCCCCGAACACAATGTATGACTTTGTGGAAATATGTGGAATTTCGGCTTTCACTGTATCCAAGCGACATGGTTTACAGTTTGCTGGATGCAGAAATATTCCCTTCATTAAAAGCCAAAATAGTTGTTGCATGGGAGGTTTAAGAAATGAAAAATGAAAGAACTTGCAAAAAAAAATTAACAAAGGAAAAGGCCAAGGCTTTAATAAAGAGGAAAACATTTAAAGAGGCAACATGTGCTCAGAAGTGGCAATAAAGTTTTTTGTTCTAAATATCCTTTTAAGAACTCAGAAAGTGCAGCATTGCTCTGGAGTACAAGGCTGTGGAGCTCCCTCTTGGTCACTGTACTGATAGGGGCTGTACACACGAGTTTATCGCCAAGCTTTAGAGGCTGCCCATTCATGCAAGTATTGCCGTGCTTTTTAAGGGTATGATTAGAAAATAATCTTTACTATGCATGCACTTGCTCAGATGTTGCTGTTGTGTTTTAATGATGTAGTTGTTCTTCGGTAATTATTTCACTTGGTTTAAGTTCATGAAAATGAAGCTCAGTATTTAAAAGCAGGAGAGGTTTTGACCCCATCAGTCTAGAATTACTTTGTTTAGAGCAAATTCCATGTTCTGTCACCTCCCTTAGCTTAAGCCTCAGCCCTCAACAGGTTTTCAGAACCAACAGGTGAAGAGACTTTAGGACAATTTTGGAAGGTCCTGAATTAATATGCAAGTGGTGGTGGTGGTGGTGGGGAAGTGGTTTGTGACTCAAGTCCTTTATAGCCTGAGGACAGTTTAGTCTTTCACGCCAGTAAAGCTCTCCTGCTGTTCCTGCAAAGGATGCAAGAGAAAAGAGAATTGCCCCAAGCCAGATGACAGCTCACCTAGGTGTGGAAAATCTCTGACCTTCGCTAAACCTAAGCAAACTTAGATGATGTGCTTTTATTTCTTCTTGTGAGGTGCATACGCACGGTGTGTGTGTGTGTCTTTCTCCTACCACACCTCTCAGGATGGAAAAGAGACTGCTGCTGCTTTGTGGGGGATTGCAGTCTGGTGCTATAGAGGTAAGAGACTCTTAGGTGTAGTTTTGTTTCTGTGTCAAACAAGCCAAGTATCTGTGTGTGCGTTTAAAGGCAGCAGAATTTAGATTTTCCTCTGTGGAATTTTACAGGCTGTATAATCCATTGAGGTTAAATGCACAGGCATTTACTACATTTCTGTTTCATCAGGTCCTTCCAGACCCCTCTGACAAGCCTGGTGGATCAGTTCTGGATGAAAGGGCTGTGCATCAGGCAAAGGCCAGCTGCTCATGGGTGTGGAAAATGCCCTGCTCTGCAGGGGCTACACTGGACACCTCGTCCTTCTAAAGGATCCTTAGAACAGCATAATCCCACCTCACTTCACAATCTGAATTATTTGCTGTTAGCAAACAACAGTGGATGAATTTGGGATTAAGTTTGTTTACCCTCTGAAGGATAAGGCCAAGAAGTGGTGCTTCTGCCACCACACCTACCTGGCAGCTTCCCTCCTGCAGCCCAAGTACAGCCCAATGCCCACAGCTAATGGGTCAGGGCCAGGTCTGCTCAGCCTTACTGCCACCGACAGCCATTGTCCCTGACCCAAAAAAGCCTGAACTCTGAGGCCTTAGCCCTGTGAATGTGAAGGCCTGTTAAAACTTGAAGTTAGGGACATGTACTGGAGGCCCAGTGGGCTGTGGTACCTTCATCCCATTGGGACATATGGAAACAGGTCCTAAACCGCCCTGCTAGGCTCCAAGTCCATATGTTTGCAAGATCAGGTCCTAAAGGATTACACAGAGCACCCAGAACATCAAATTACATTGTCACAATATCACTGATTAATAAGGGACGCTTCTACAAGTTTGTTCAACTTGTTACAGAATTAAATGGCACTATCTCCATAAAGGCTTCAAATGAACCTTTCTGAGAGGAAAAGCAACAATGAAACTAAGAGTTTTGGTTTTGCTTCCAAATTTTATATATTGATGTGGAGTCTGTGTACAGTCTACCTGTGAAACACTAGTCCTTGTGCTTCAAAGCCCTCTGATCGCTGAGTTGTTTGTACCTGTGCAAAACCCACAGGGATGAAACCAAATCAGCATGGCAGCATTTTCAGCTTGCATCCGGTGTAAATGACAGGCAGAAACTGCTGATGTTCAGGGTCTTTATGCTGCAACACAGACCTTGTCATTCGGACATTATTGTCACAGGGAACCATTAAAGCAGCACATTCCCTATGGAAGCCAATGAAACTGTGTTAGCCAGGATCTCCAGGGCAGACCTAGGAACCGACCCTCCATCATGCCATCAGCTTTCACACAGTGAAGGGGAGCTGGGTGTCTCCAGACCATC